GTATCAATCATAGCCGTACATGTCAACACGCTCAGTGCGAAAAAAACAGCGTTAATAATCCGCCGCTTAGTTTCGAGACAAATAGAACCTTGTTTTAAAATAAGCAAAGAACTGACCTCTCCAAAGTCGTTGCGGTTCCCGCTAACGTGACATCTGTACGTGCCGAAATCAGAGCTGTCCAGTTCACGAATATCAAGCGAAGAGACCAGAATTAGCGGCCTATCTTCAGAAGTATAAGTTGTTATGTTGAAGCGAGGTCCGTCCACTCTGCGATAAGTGGATAACTGTTTCTTCTCCCATACCATGTGCATCTTCGCGCCAATTCCCATCCGCAAATGGCATGCCAGAGTAGCTTTTTTCGCCTCTCGTGGCAAATATAGTGTAGATGTATAGCTGACTCCGTCATTTTCGCTGAGTGACGTTGAAAAACGCAACACATCAGATGGTGTCGATTTTCTGGACAGATCCGAGGCATGCGCCACAACATAAACTGAATATGATCGGTCCGGCCTGAGGTTCGTCAAAGAGATTGAATGCTGCTTTGTAGAGTGTATAACCTCTTCATCATTATATGACTTTTGCCTCGGTCCCGATATCTCTGCTAGATGCACTTTGTAAATATGCACAAGCTCCGGATGCTTGGCTGGAGCACTCCAGTGAAGCTCCACCGATGTGCTTGTTTTTGGTATGATTTTCATGAGTTGCGGAGGTGTTGGCGTGCTGGAATGACTGCTAAGGATGCAGGTGTACATGGATGCGAGATTGAGGGACAAGCATGATTGGTAGCGAATCCAGTGATTCACGCCGTTTGGCGAACCTCGACAAAGATCGAGACATGAGCTCTCGTCGTCCTGAACAGCATTTGTTTGGCAACACGCGGTGGAGTCGCGTCCGTCGACGATACACTCCGCGATTTGCGGCAGAAAATGGTCGCATCTAGTAGGAGGTTCAAAAACTGTGTATATCTCCTTGTCGCCAGGAGGCGATGTAAGTCTGCAGAGCGCCCGCGAGCAAACCTCCGATACACCACGCTTCCGGCAACAGGACTCAGTGTTAGCAGAGGCTTGATCGTGCAGCAAAAGCATGACGAGGTAGACCAGCCTCATCGGAAGTGGGTCAGGGATTGCCTGGCCGTCGCCGCGCCTTGATCCCTACCAACTGCCCGCCCCGAAACGGGTTCGCAAAGTGATAAGCATCGGGCGAAAGGTCGATTTTTCTTGTTCTATGTTCGTCCAGTCAGTCTTGTACTTCGTTCCTGTTACTTGTTCAGTTGCTAGAGTTCCGCTTTCGTTGGGTTCTCGCTGAAACTTCATTCTTACAGGCAGTGTTGCGCGCGGATCCGGCCTGGGTTTGACCATACATTCGGTCAGCGACGACGATGCTGGCCGCTATCACTGCGTTATTACACGATTCGGGAAACAGCCGACTAGGCCTGAGAGCGGACCACCAATTCGACTGGTAGTTAATGGTAGGAATTTAAATCTCACAAAGTTAGATCATTTTGGCATAGCAGTGTATAGTGTTGGTCTGATGACATTAGATGTCAAACTTTCAGCAAAATAATTTGATTCATTTGTTCAAAAACGGGATCTATTAAAGCCGACGTCTGAGCGATCCGATACCGGAGTGACCACTTTTTTAAGCAGAATTATTCACATTTATCTTTTGAAATGGGAGATCGGAAGCAAGTACAGGAGCAAAACAGAGCTTAACGTTGCCAATTTATAGTGGCAAGTTTTTGCACTTATTTATTGTTTTAAGTCCCCTCTATGTTTGAACGCAGCATCACCTTGACGATCGATGTAGAAGCGCATGGGTACTATAAACACATTTAGCTACGAACAGATGTAGTGTAGTGTTGTATGTGTCTAGACGAAGTGAAGTCAAGGATTTTAAAAGTAGTGACATTTGGCATATATGTTCGTCATCTTGAACAAAATTTATTCTTAAATTCCTAGTTTTTCAAAATTTTGCTAAAACACATCAAGTCTGTTATTTCGCTAAATTCCTTCAATTGCAATTATAATAAATGTAGTGTTAGGCTACATACACGCTTTTTTTCTGAACTGGCGTCAGCATTACGCAAGAATAACTAATTACTACAGGTCGCAACGCGATCTTCAGCGTAAGTGCATTATGGAAGATTCATAGGAAATCAATAATGACATTTTTTAATAAACTTCTTCATAGAAGGAACGGTGGACTGTAGTGATCTCAAAATGTTTTTTTTTTAGAAA